CGAGCACTTCCTTTCAGCCAGCTCGTCATTTCAGAAAGATGGGTACCTGCCTGCCCCTTTTATTTATTTATTTTTTAGTCATCAATGAGTTTATTCTTTAATATCTCTTAAATATTTCCAGAAATGATAATAGTCCAGATGCCAATATGGAGATAACATTTTGAAAATAAAAAAGCAGTCATTATTTTTCTAAAAAAAAAAAAGTTAAATTCCTATGGTATCTCATCAACATTATGACAAAATGGCATTGAATGAAATGATCTTATTTGAAATGATCTTATTTGCTGTCGTAGTTAAACTTAGCTTCAGCTATCTTTCTACACAGACTGTACAGTATAGTACACAGCTACGTGGATGGAAGACAGCGGATACCTGCCACTTTTAAAGGACAAGGGATGTCTGCCAAACTCCAGAAAAGTCTTACTACTTCACAATGGAAAACATGTTTTTTAAAAAGTTGCTAAAGACATTGCAACCTTCACCTGCTTTTAATTGGCTAAGGCAAGGAGCAATCGGCTGCACCGTTTTCAGGAAGCCTTTGAAGGCTTCTTGCAGAAAGTTAAGTTTCTATCGCGTGTTGACCCTGGGATCAAAAGTAATAGCTCACCTTTCAAATGACCTGATTGATAATGAAACGTAGTTCGATGTTTCTTCCAACAAATTAAGCATCAATATATTGAAAAGAAAACTATTAGTACTTTTCTTTCTCCCTCATGAATATAACTCCCTTGTTTACCTGCCTCTTTGAATTTCTAGGCCCCTTCCTTGGAAACGTTCCTCATTAATGAAAGTCCTTCCTATTCCATAGTCTGGTAAAATCTCCTCCTTAATTATCCAGCATGTTCTGTCTTTCATCGTTTCTTTTGGGAGGGGGGGGGAGTTCAAGTTTTTATAAAATCGAGGGCTGTGAAATAGCAATTGAAAGGTGATAGGGCTTTGAAACTGACCAGGTCTTTACAGTTTGCTGGAGTGTTTTAAAGCGGTGTTTACAAGGACAAAATAGGTGGCTCCATCCTGACAGAAAGAATGTAACACTGGCCGCTTTACCAACGGCCTGCTGGAAACACCAGCAGCACCAGCTACAGAATTGTACTTGAAATACCAATTTCCTTACTCCCTCTTTCTCTTGATTCTTTGAGGATGTTGTTTAATCTCATTGGAATTTTGTGTGTGTGTGTGATTTGAACAGGCTGATAAGTGGCCCAATACAAAATGATGGAGGCTTTGTTTTGGGGGGAAAAAATAAACTACAAATGAAAAAGTTTCTTCAATTACAGTAATCTATACCCTAGAGCTTCTGGAGAGACATGCGAGTGAGTCCGACCTGACAGGTTCTAGTCGCAAACAGGGATTCTTACAAAGGAAATAATGTTGAAATTTGGATAGGGCTGGGAATTTCATTTGTTTCTAAAATAAGTTTACATCTAAATATTCTCTGTGTTGCTACTTGCAACCCATTATAATAGCATACAATAGGAAATAAAGCGAATGTCCCCCAGGAGGAGACAGGTTAAGTAAACTACGGGGGATGGGGGGACCCATTCAGTGCACTGCTCTGCACCATTAAAAGTTAGTTGGCAGGAGGGAAAAAATGGCATAACAATTGTTTATAAAAAAAAATTTTTTTAAATAAAGGAAACTTGTTTATGATCTAGAGAAGAAAATCTGATTGCAAGTGGCTTAATGTAGACACATTTCTGAATGGACTGCAGTTCAAGTCAGGAGCTAGGTCCATCCTTTGTTACTGTATCCCCAGCACCGTGTTGGTTATGATATGTGTTCAAATTAATAAATTAAGGTATATACAAAGTGGTTCCACTAGGAAAATATATTTTGTGCTTAGAAAAACTGTAAGACTATACATTAAAATGTTAACTGTTTAATTCTGAGTGGATGATTCTTCTTTTGCCAATAGGTATTTTTAATTTTTATAATGAAATTGTATTTCTTTTGTAATCAGAACAAAAACAATGAAATTAAGTTAAAAATATATCTCTTAGCTTTTCCAGAGCAGTCCCGCAAAAGGGCCCATTCCTCTTCTTAAGCAGTTTAGGGCTGGCTGGCTGTTTCTTAGTCTTAGAAAGCAGCTTATTTTCTGATATCCTTGCATTTTGTCCAAGCTTGCCCCTCGATGAGCAATCGCACCCAGTCTGTTTCCAACTGTGATCAGTAAATGAAGTGAAAATCAAAATGAGGTAACTATTATGTGCTGTCTGTCACTCATCCATTTCCCATGTAAATGTAATTTCATTCTTCTTGAAATAAGAACCGAACCAGAAACTCTGATGCTCCCTAACAGAAATGCAGCTCACAAGGACAGCTCTGTTCTCACGGACTTCACAAGCCTCCAATTTGAGGAGAAGAAACTGGCTAAGATCCATTCATTCGGAATAGTCTAACAATTCCCTTGAGCAGTAAACATATTTTATTTCTCAGTGTTAGACATTTATTGCTGAAGAACACAATGCCTGCATTTCTAGGTATTAACAAAAGTTGTTTGTTGGCCAACAGTTGTGTGTGAATGCTACTCAAGAGCAGTGCGGGGTGTATGTGTAACACAACAGACACCCACCCTCGCCGCCGAGATTGCCCAGTGCACCCAGGGATGGTGCATTTGACTTAAAACTGTGAAATGGTGTGCCCGGGGGAAGCCTCAGACATCCTGAATGTTATAGTCCAAAGCAGAAGAAAAACAGCAAAGTCTGAAGAACCGGAGTTGGAAGAAGGGAAGAGTGTAGATTTGTTCTATTTATAGTTTCGTCCTTAAAAAAACAACCACCAAACAGACAGAAGCACCAGGTATATACAGAGTAAGTCAGAACCAGAAATGTTCATCCAACTGTAGTGTTCTGCTAAAATAATAGCTACAAATTCCTAAGGAACCACCTAAAATATTAATCCGTTCTGTATTTTGAAAGTATAATCCTGCCCGGCCGGGCGTGGCTCAGCGGTTGAGCGTTGGCCTAGGATCCAGGCGATGGGGGTTCGATTCCCGGTCAGGGCACACGCCCGGGTTGCGGGCTCCATCCCCTGTCAGGGGCAGGGGCGTGCAGGAGGCAGCCGATCAATGACTCTCTCATCATGGATGTTTCTCTCTCTCCCTCGCCTTTCCTCTCTCTGAAATCAATAAAGATATATTAAAATATATATATATATAATCCTGTGGAAATACTACCCCCTTTAAATGAAGCTTANTCCTGTGGAAATACTTCCCCCTTTAAATGAAGTTTAAAAACTATTAAATACTTATAAATTTTATTTATGGCCTCTCTACAATGAAATGGAGAACAGTTTTAAATAAATCGTATTAGCTCAAGTCTGGACAGTTTCCTAGAAAAATATAATCCTTGGACAGTTTTGAAAGAATTGGAAAAGTTGTATCAAGAAAANATCCTGTGGAAATACTACCCCCTTTAAATGAAGCTTAAAAACTATTAAATACTTATAAATTTTATTTATGGCCTCTCTACAATGAAATGGAGAACAGTTTTAAATAAATCGTATTAGCTCAAGTCTGGACAGTTTCCTAGAAAAATATAATCCTTGGACAGTTTTGAAAGAATTGGAAAAGTTGTATCAAGAAAATAAAATGAAGTGTCCCAGGATTAACCTGCCCAAGAGGGAAGTCATAACAGAAAAAGAATTTGCTTTCAAATCTTTTGCGCCCAAGGGGAAGACACTTCTAGGCGGATATGTCATCTGCAGAGAGAATCAAGACCAGTGTCCTGGGGAACAAGGGGGGTGTTATTTGCCTCCTTACCGGACATGAAATAATTCAAGTCAATTTGGTTCACTTATGGTGAAATAAATGGCAATACGCTGAAAGTCATACTCTTTATTTCCTTTAATTCAACCCCAGAAATCAAAATAGGAAGGGAAATATATATACTCCCTGCGACGGGCTTCTGTCTAAACGGCGTGTTTTTCACAGCGCGCTCACCGCAGAAGCCCGCACACGGCCAGTCTGCGAAAGGGATGCCGATCCCCGGAGGCTTTTCCACGTGGCGAACATCTGTTAGCACCCGCTTGTCCCCATTCACTTGGTGCAACCAAAGCTACCAAAGATCACTGTGGGATACGTACAGATCACTCAGGGGGTCGCTGCATATGCGTCCCGAAGCATCTCCGGTTGTTTCTAAACTGAGAGCCCGCATCCCTTTGTGGAGGCGGTTTTCCTTCCTTCGGTTCCCGCTTTTCAGGACTCAGGACAGTGTGCACATCATCATCATCATCATCATCATCATTATTATTATTGTCATCATTTTTTAGTACATAACACCTAATAAAGTGCCTGGCACATGTGGGAGGTCAATAAACATGTGGTGAATAAAATAACTAATTAAAAACCTCCAAAAAGCTATGAAAACTATACCTCAACTGCAAAATAAAAAATGCCATTATTGAAGTGTGACTTTTACTTTAACAATTGGATGGAAGGCCCAGTGAAGTTTACAGGTTTTGTCCCCCTTGGACTCAGTAACAGAAGAGTTGCATCGGGGACATGAGATAAAGGCCCTGACTGGAGATGGCAGAGGGAGGGGCTCCGTGGGGCCTCCGCTGTCAGCGTCCACGGCGCCACCCTCATGCGGATGCTCTCCCGAGGAAGCCCCAGTGCCATCAGGTAATCTGGCACCTGGCTGGCACTAAGGAACAAAGTCCCCTTATGTTATTGTCATAGTCCAGTTTTATTCCCCAGTTAAATACAGAAAATTTACAGTTAGAAAGCAACGAGTGTCCAGATGAAGCAGTTACAAAGCCCTTGCCCATAGAAATTGTCTTTCCATAATACACAGGCCTGTGACTCTTATTGATGGGGTCGAATCCTCCTAAGAACTGGAGCTCTCCTGGCTGTAAATCAGTCAACTTTCCAATCTTCTTCAGGCCAGGAGACGTGACTGGCTGACTCTCAGTTCTGTCTAGCACTGTCCAATTTACAGTCAGTTGTTGTTGTTTAATATAATCTGACTCCAAAACAAGTGTTATATACTGAGACTTCCTCTTCACACATATGTACCCCAGTAAAACAAATTAACTATAATATACACAATGGGAAATAAAATCCATGAGTAGGTGTCAATGACATGGTGGTTCTCCAGAATGGTTCTGCCGACGTGCCCTCCCGGGGGTTTTCTTCTCTCTATCCTGGATGGGTCTGCACTGGGGCTGCCTGTGAATCTTCCTCTAATGGAGTCATATTCTGGGTGGAGAGAAAAGGAAGTCTGGTCCATGTCAGTCTCGCTGTCGTGGTGACAACCATCGAAGGCCATAGCTTGAACTGCATCAATATTGTACATTCCAGAAATCTGATAAAAAGAATTTTGTTAGTAAGTCATGAATATGGTTTTATGAATGGGAATTACAGTAAAAATCTAAACAATCAGGATTTTAAAAAATAGTTTCAATAAATGCTAAGAATGCTTTGCTTATTTTAAAGAACTCTGGTTTTGCTTCTGGTGTCTAAAAGTCATTTTAATAATAAATGGAAAGCATTATCTTGGAGATCCATTTTTAATAGGGGTTTAGCAGAGTTTATAAATTTTTCCATAGAGATATTTGAGCATCATACAAATAAATGTTACAAAACTATAATGTCAATGTTTTCTAATTTAGTCCTGGCCTGATAGATTGTTACACTCAATGCCTGTGTTTCCCCAGAAGGAAACAGTTTCAGGTTCCCCCGCTTTGTTTCTGAGTAGTATGAAAGGTTTGGCATAAGTTTGTGAGTTGAAATTGAAAATGGTTTATCAGAAGAGCAATATAAGCCAATTGAGTTTGCTTCTCAATGTATTTTTCCTGTTTAGAGAAAACATAACAGTATGCCCAGTCAGTGTGTTTTGTCCAATAACAACAGTATCATCTGGTGATCCACTTACGCTTAAATTTAGGGTGTGGGTCTGGAATGATTTTAGCTGCTCTTTGGAAATGCAAATTGGCCAAGCCTTTCCATTTTTGCTGAAAAGTACCTATAAACGAGGCTAACATAACCAATTTAAACAACTTGACATTGGCTTATTTTTTGGAAGGAGCGAATTTTCAGTGCTTTCTGGCCTCAGCACCTGGTTGAATCTGAACTACCATTTCTCTTTAAGGCTTATTCTGAGGGAGAGAGTGGTTCTCTTTGATTCAGAGCAGCATCTAGGAAGCAGCTGTTACTAATTGCTTTCCGAGAAAACAAAATCACTTCTTGATCTACAGGGAAGTTAAAAAAATAAACAAATATGAACAGGCTACTACTGGATGAAATTATTCAGAATTCAAATTGGATGCAGCAGAGTAAATTCTGCCAAAATGTATATTTGGTTCATAGTGATTGAAAACCCTAATATTTTACTTAATTCAAAAAGACATGGAGACTAGAAATAAGTCAGACAGTGAAAGACAAATACCATATGATTTCACTTATATGTGGAATCTGAAAAATAAACAAACAAAACAGAAAGAGACTCATAGATGCAGAGAACAAACCGATGGTTGCCAGATGAGAGGGGAGTCGGGGGACTGGGTGAAAAAGGGAAACAGATTAAGAGATACAAACTGGTAGTTACAAAATCGTCCCAGGGACGTAAAGTACAGCGCAGAGAATACAGCCAATACTATTGTAATAACTACGTATGGTGCCAGGTGGGCACTAGACATAAATTATATAAAAGTCTAACCGCTGCGCTGTACACCTGAAACTAATATAACGTTGAATGTCAACTGTAATTGAGTAAAATTGTCTTTCATACTCAGCCAAAAAAAAATGTAGTTAAAAAATTAAAAGACATGGAAACTATTTATTCTGTGTAGTCAAACTAACCAGGGCCCCATCCCAAGTCATGTTGTCCCTTTTTGTTTTAATTGTAGAAACTTTCCATAATAAAATGGAAATGGGCAAAATACACATGAAAGGCTATCCAGACGGAATAGCTAACCTCAGAGAGCGCTTAGTAACATGAATGATACATTCAGGCTGGAGCTGAGGATGCAATAACTACGCACAGTCTCTCTACCCCGAATACTGCGGAGCCACCCCCTGGACACCCACTTTTCTATCCTAACAAAAAGGTCACTGTTGTGTTCAAGGAGGCACAGTCTCCCGTGAAGAGCCAGGGTGCCGTTTTCTCTCTCTATTATGGTGATTCAGAACTACCTGTGTACTTGAGTAAATCTTGCAACATTCAATTTACCGGTAGGCTGCTCATTCCCACAAGTGTATGAGTTGGTTTTCCCCATAGAAACTCTTTTAATGTTTTGGTCTTTAATTTTTCACTCCACCCTATCAATAAGCACATAGCGAAGGCCTATTATATCTTAACTATAGGTTTGACTATTTGGGACTAAGTTCTAAGTCCTGGAATGAGGAAAACATTCGGATAAGAAAGGAAATTGCTTCCTTTCTCCTTCCTGGGTAAAGGTCCACTCTGGGGATCATTTCTCCACAGCTCCCGCTGGCCTCCCAGCTCCTGGTGAATGGGGGGGTTGGGACCTGTGTGTGCCGTGGTAGAAAGTGAGCTTCGCCTGACGTCGTGACTTCATGGGAGCTCCTTAGCCTGGCATTCCTGGCCGTCCTCGCCCCCCAGTCCCCCGACCCTGGGGACTTAGGGGGGAGGCACTGGCGCGTGTGGCTCAGCCCCTTTGGAGTCCTCACTGTGAGACCCGCATCGGCCTCCTGGTTTGATCTCTGAAATAAGGCTGAAGGAGACCGTCTTTACAGGGAGAGTCCAGAACTGTCTGGCTTAGCCAGTGACCGAGAGAATAAGTATGTTTGATTCAGTGAGGAGGTATCAGTGGGCCGCCCTGCTCACAGACCTAAGCCGCTTTCTCCAAACGGCGTCATCAATAACAAAGGCGACACTATCAAGCACATCGGTCTGGCGCACACATCTCTCTTCTCTCTAAAACTGAGGGAAGAGGTATCATCGATTAGGCCCAAACGCACAGACATGTCCTCCTGCCCTGCCCCTCACGAGGGCATCCCATCCCCTGAACGATCTCTCGTCTCCGACGGCTGTTTCCACTATTCCCGTTGAAGCTCCTGTCCCTTCACTCCGCATGCTCTGGGCACCGATCACGGTAAGAACTTGACATCCGTGGAGCCCTTTATAGTTGGCAGAAGTTTCAGGCCTATGTACTATGTCATGTCATCTTCACAACAGTCCCGTGAAATAAAGAGGGAAGGAATTCCACAATTTTGCAAGTGCGTAATCAAGTTTAGGAGAAATAACCTGCAGACAAAGCTAGGAAGTGGCAGAGTCAGGTTTGGCATCACTTCTGACTCCAAATCTTTTGCTCTTTCATTCTAACAACTATATGAATGCCAGGTAGAATATTTCTTGGAGATAATGGCACCTTTAAAAGAAGATGCTTAGGATGGCGGTTTCCAGAAGCTGGGGGAGGGGGAAGTGGGGGGTTTAATAGGTACAGAATCTCAGTTTTGCAAGATGAAAAAGTTCTGGAGATTGGTTGCCCAACAGTGTGAATACACTTAACGGTAATTAACTATGCACTAAAAAACGGTTAACATGGCGAGTTCTGTGTTATTTGTATTTTGCCTCAGTTAAAAACAAAAAATAAGGGCCCTGGCCGGGTGGTTCAGTCAGGTGGAGCATCATCAAAAGGTTGTGGGTTCAAGTCCCGGTCCGGGCACAGGCCCAGGGTACAGGCTCGATGCCCAGTCAGGCTGTGTATGGGAGGCGGCCAATAAATGTTGCTCTCTCACATCGATGTCCCTCTCTCCCCCTTCCTCTGTCTCTAAAATCAATAAAAACATATCCTCAGAGGAGCATTTTTAAAAAAAAGAATGATGCTTATTAACCCCAAAGAACCTCTTTTTAGTGGAACACAAGGAGACTGAATACAACACTAGCAAGTGGGGGAAAAAGTCCAGGATGAGCACCTGCGTTGTGTGGCAGGCGGGGGCGAGGAGACCTAGATACACCGAAGCAAAGGACACATAAGGTGGCCGCGGCTACTTCGCTGCCTCTCCTGGGTTAACCCCCCACCTAAAAAGGAAATAAGAGCACGAGACAAGAACAACAAATTCTTTCCGTTGCCACACGTTTTCCTCTGTCACCTGCCACTTCACAGGTTATCTGACTCCTTCCTACTCAGTGTGGGCCACGGACCAGCAGCGTCCGGGGCCCGTTCGCGATGCAGACGCCCGGGCCCCACCCAGACCCCCCGAATGACAGGCCCCGCACACTTGTGTGTAAGCTTCGGGTGCTCTCTCCCTGCGCGTCGCTCACTGTGGGTGTGGGTGTCGGGGACGCAGAAGCTCACCCTTTCAACAGAAGAGCTCGAGGCTTCTGCGATGAAGCAGAACCGGCTCCCGCAGCTTCGGCTCCAGGGGCGCACGGTGGGGAGGCGACGTTAGCATCGCAGGACTGGGCCGCCTCTGGGGCTCCGCGCCTGGGAAACTCCGGGGAAGTCACTTCACCAAAGCTCTGGGCCTCACTTTTAAAGGCGAGGCGATAGTCTCCGCAGGCCTGCGTCAGGAAGCTGACACGAGGCTTCGGTCGTAAGAAGGGACATGAAAACATTCCCACAGGTATGAAATGCTCTCACTAGAAATACAAAAAATATAAACAATGTTTGGGTGTGCATAATGCTCATATAGGAATTTCCTAAACCGACGTGAATACATTACATTAAAATCATGTGTGCAAGTGTGTACGTTTATTTATGTACGTAGTCCCTTAAGTGTGTACTAGCAAGTGAATTACTTTGACCAGTTAGGTGTCCGAAGCACAATATCGCATGTGGGTTCCTCAGCCACAGGGAACTGGTGCTCCAGGCCTTGGAGCGATGCAGCAGGTGGGACGGATCTGTCCATAGTTATTAAGCAGTGTCACAAAATCATGTGGCAACACTAAAACCTAGAAGGCCCCTTACTCCCAGTATCCCGTGGGGAGAAGCACCTCCTTTTATGCTCTCCCGAGAAACAAGAAGAGGAAAGGAGTCCTAGCTCTTGGTGGAAACATGTCCCTTACTGGTCGAGAGCACAGTCTGGGGTCAGGGAGGCCCAGAAGCAAATCTGGATTCCTCTTGAGCCAAGTTACCGCCCACCTGCTCCTATTTCACTTCCATAACATGAGGGTGATAAAAAAATTTTTAAAAAACCGACCCCTTGGGGCTACTTTGAGCATTTAACAGCATAATACGTGTCAGGTGGTTCACACAATGCCAGTAGGTAATTAATGCTCATTAAGTGTTAGCTGTTATTATCATCACCACCTGCTTGGAGGGATGTGGCCAGCACATCACCCCTTTCTCCCAGGGACTGAGTGGGCACACTGGGGAGCATCCCCCACTCGGGAACCCTGGCAAAGGCCAACGATGCCAGGAAGCCGGCCAGCACAGAGCTCGGGGGGAAAGGTCAATATTAAATTGTCAGCAGCGTGTAAACGGGCATCTTGACAAGGGGTATGGACTCAACACGAGGGCTGACGGCGGTGCCAGGAGAGCGTCTTTGCTGAGGAGCCGTTCACACTCTGGAAGGGATGTGACAGCCAAGGCAAGGCGGACCCTCCCCGCCTTCCTGAGCCGCTCCCGTTCCTCCGCTCCGGGGAGGGAGCTCCCGGCTGCAAACTCGGTGGGTGACAGGCACACGGAGAGGGAGCCGCCCCCAGGTCCACGGCACGGCCTTGACGCAGGACACCTGGGCCCGGAGGCGCTCACGCCAGGGACGGTGGTGGCATGGTCAGCACCGTGGTGACTCCTGCCGCTTGAGAACGGAGACAAGCCCAGTGACATACCCGCTCAGTTCCAGGTTCTGGTGCTGGATTACAGCAGGGGGTATGTCTTCAGAACAAGATCAATCTGGTGATCACAGGGTGGGGGTGGGGAGGAACCCCCGCATGTTAGCCTAATTCACATCTTTTTTTCTTTTTAATACAATGATTTTATTGATTTTTAAAGGGAGAGGAAGAGACAGAGAGAGAGAAACATCGATGCAAAAGCAAAACATCGATCAGTCACCTCCCGCACACCCCTCACCCGCGATCGAACCCGAGACCCTTCAGTGCACAGGACGACACCCAACCAACTGACCACACCAGCCAGGGCTAGTTCACATCTTGGGGTGAAGCAAGAAGCTCTCCTTGGATTTCTCTTTTTACCTCTTTTTCTTGCCCACACCCCGCTTGTCCATAAAGTTTTCTTCTTTCCATCTAAAGGCTTCATAGCCTTGCCCTGGCCAGTGTGGCTCAGTGGTTGGGCATCGACCTGTGTGGCAAAAGGTCACCGGTTCAATCCCTGGTCAGGGCACGTGTCCGGGTTGTGGGCTTGATCCCCAGTAGGGGGCGTGCCGGAGCCAGCCCATCGATGTTTCTCTCACATTGATGTTTCTCTCTCCCTCTCTCTTCCTCTCTCTGAAATCAATAAAAATATATTTTAAAAATAAACACTTCACAGTCTTTCAAGACTCAGTGCTTCTTGCCCTCGGGTGGGCCTCTTCTAACCATCCCAGAAAGGTAAAATCGTATCCAATTTGAAAATATCCTTCTAGGAAAGAAATTCCAAAAACCATTCCCACTGCTCTTCCCCATCATTTCACAACTTTTACTGTTAAGAAGTTGTCTTCATGTCTCCCTTTAATCTTTCACTTGTCGAGGAGTGATCTTTATGGCATTAAAGATTGCTGTTCTCCACATTTCCCTTTCACGTGGACACTTACAAGCCATCATTGTAGCTACGCTTTGTCTTTTTTTTCCTGAAACTACAGTTCAACTGAGACTCAGGATGGAAGTGTGCTAGTGGAGGCTCCGCCCAGGGTAGATGTTTACTAAGCCAACTGCTAAATGCCAGTTACTATTT